CCCAGGCATTCAATCCCTAAGAACTTACGCTGCCTTTAGACCACCTCTACAAGCAACACTTAAGAAAGTATTCAACACAGAATAAAGGGAAAAAATAACAACAACGTTCTTCACAAGAGTGCAGGAAAAAGATTGAAAATGTACACAAATCAACCCAAAAATCAATAGAAAGACATCAAACAGGAACAATAACAACTCTATAAGAACCTCATGACAGAGATAAACTCTCACATTTCAATAATTAGCCTGAATGTGAATGGACTAAATGCACCACTGAAAAGACAGAATGCCAAAAAGGATAAAATATCATGAGGCAACAATATATTGTCTCCAAGAGACTCATCTCACCAGAAAGGACAGTCACAGACTCAAAGTAAGAGGGTGAGAAGCAAAATTATAGGTGAATGGAACACAAAAGAAAGCATCGGTTATGACCTAAATATCAGACAAGATACCCTTTAAGCTATCAAAACATAAAAGAGATACAGAAGATCACTATATAATGCTAAAAGGGTCAATCCATCACTAAGAAATATCCATCCTAAGCATATATGCACCCCACATAGGAGCACCAACTTTCATAAAGCAGCTTCTAGGTAAACTTAAAAAAGATATTGACTCTAACACTATAATAACTGGGTACTTTAATACCCCACTCACAACCCTAGACAGATCATCAGGACAAAAAATCAGTAAGGCGATTCGGAACCTTAATGTGACTCTTGACCAAATGGACTTAATTGATACCTACAAAACACTCCACCCAATGACCACAGAGTACACATTCTACTCATCACCACATGGAATGTACTCTAAGATCGACCACATAATTGGCCATAAATCAAGCATAAGCAAATTTCATAAGATTGAAAGTTTGCCATGTACCTTCTCAGATCACAGTGGAATAAAAATAAATATCAACACTAACAAAGTTCCCCCAAAACCCACAAAGACATGGACACTAAACAGCATGATGCTAAGCAACTCCTGTGTCAATATGGATATTAAAACAAATTGAAAGATATCTGGAAACAAATGAAAATGAAGAAACATCTTACCAAAATCTCTAGGATGCCATGAAAGCAGTAGTAAGAAGAGAATTCATATCTCTGCAAATGCACATGAAGAAAATGGAAAGATCACAAATTAACAGCCTAACAAGCAACCTAAGGACGCTGCAAAAGCAAGACCATCAAAACCCTACCTTCAGCAAAAGAATCCAGATCACAAAAATAAAAGCCCAAATCTGGGACATACAAGACAAAAAGATAATACAAAAAAAAAATTCAATGAAACAAAAAGCTGGTTCTTTGAAAGGATAAATAGGACTGATAGTCCCCTAGCTAGACTGACCAAGAAAAAGTGCAAATAAACACAATCAGAAACAAAAGATAAAGTCACATCTGACCCTGAAGAAATACAAAAGATTATCAGACTACTATGTACACTTGAATGGAAACAAACTTGAAAACCTAAAGGAAACGGAGGGCTTTCTGACATCACAAAACCTCCCTAGATTGAAACAAGAAGAAATCGAGAACCTAAATAGACCAATAACAATCCAGGAAATCAACTATGTCATAAGAAAACTACCTACAAAAAAAGCCCTGGACCAGATTGCTTTCCAGCAGAATTCTACAAAACATATAAGAAGGAACTGATACCAATCCTATTGAAAGTATTCCAGGTGATTGAGAAAGATGGACCTCTCCCCAAATTATTTTATATGCTAACATCACATTTATACCCAAGCCAGGTAGAGACCCAACAAAGAAAGAGAACTACAGGTCAATATCCTTGATGAACATAGATGCTAAAATTTTCACCAAGATCCTAGCAAACTGTATTCAACAACACATCTCAAAAATCATCCATCATGACCAAGTAGGCTTCATCCCCAGGATGTAAGGCTGGTTCAACATTCGTAAGACCATAAACATAATTAAATACATCAACAGACGTAAAAACAAAAAACACATGATTATATCATTAGATGCAGAAAAAGTTTTTGATAAAATCCAGTACCCCTTCTTTCTTTTTTTTTTTTTGAATTGGAGTCTCACTCTGTTGCCCAGACTCGAGTGCAGTGGCACGCTCCCAGCCACCACAGCCTTGACCTGTCGGGCTCCAGTGATCCTTCCACCTCAGCCTTCCAAGTAGCTGGAACTACAGGCACGTGCTACCACGACCGGCTAATTTTTTTTTTTTTAATTTATTGTAGAGATGAAGTCTTGCCAAGTTGCCTGGGTGGGTCTTGAACCCGCGGGCTCAGGCAATCCACTCGCCTTGGCCTCCCAAAGTGCTGGATTATGGGCTGAGTCACCGAACCCGGCCCAGCACCCCTTCTTGATAAAAACTCTCGAACACCTAGGCATAGATGGAACATACCTCAAAATAATAAGAGCCATCTACAAGAAACCCACAGCCAGCACATCACACTGCTAAACAGACAGAAATTAGAACCATTCCCCCTGAAAACTGGAACAAGACAAGGATGTCCACTCTCACCCCTCCTGTTCAACATAGTTTTGGAATTCTAGCTAGAGCAATCAGAGAAGAGAAGGCAATCAGGAGTATCCAAATAGGAAAAGAGGAAGTCAAGTTATCTCTCTTTGCAGATGTCATGATTCTATGACTTGAAAACAAAAGAGAATCTGTCAAAAACCTCCTTGCTCTGATAAAGGACTTTGGCAAAGTATCATGGTATAAAATAAATGGGCAAAAGACAATCGCATTTCTATAAACAGATAATAAACAAACAGAAACCCAAATAAAAAGCACAATTCCATTCAGAATAGACACACAAAAAATGAAATACCTTGGCATCTTCCTAACCAGAGACGTGAAAGACCTTTACAATGAAAACTACAAAACACTGCTCAAAGAAATCAAAGAAGATACAAACAAGTGGAAAAAACATTCCATGCTCATAGATTAGAAGAATCAGCATTGTTAAGATTGTCCATTCTACCTAAGGCAATCCACAGATTTAACACAATACCCATAAAATTACCAGCAACATTCTTTTCAGACCTAGCAACAACAATACAGGAATTCATATGGAAACATAAATGACTAAGAATAGCCAAAACAATCCTCAGGAAAAATAAAAGAAGGAGGTATCACACTCCTAGACTTTAAACTTTATTATAAGCCTACAATAATCAAAATAGCCTGCTACTGGTACAAGAACAGGCATATAGACCAATGGAATAGAATTGAGATTCCAGGAGCAAAACCTCAATTTCTCAACCAACTCATCTTCAACAAAGCTTCCAACACCAACCACTGGGGAGAGGAGAACCTATTCAGTAAATGGTGCTGGGAAAACTGGCTGACCACATGCAGAAGATTCAGACAAGATCCCTACCTATCACCATACACAAAAATTAACTCTAAATGGATCAGACACCTAAATGTAAAACCTCAAACTATAAGAACCTTAGAAAATGCAGGAGACACTCTTATGGAAATTGGAACTGGCAACCAATTCTGATCAAAACCCAAAGTGTCCATGCCATAAGAGATAAGATAGACAAGTGGGACCTCATCAAACTGATAAGCTTCTACAAAGCCAAAGAAACCATCAAGAGAGCAGAGAGACAGCCCACAGACTGAGAAAAAATATTTGCCAACTCCATGTCTGACAAAGGCCTAACATCTAGGATCTATAAGGAACTTCAACGTGTTGAAAAGAAAAAAAACAAACAGCCCCAATACAAAATGGGCAAAAGATATGAATAGACAGTTCTCAAAAGAAGACATATGAGCAGCCAACATATGAGCCAACATATGAGATACATGAAAAAATGTTCACCCTCACTAGTCATCAAGGAGATGCAAATTAAACTACACTGAGATACCACCTAACTCTAGTGAGAATGGCCATTATCAATAACTCAAAAAATAACAGATGCTGGAGAGGATGTGGCGAAAAGGGAACACTTCCACACTCTTGGTGGGAATGTAAACTAGTACAGCCTCTGTGGAAAACAGTGTGGCGATTCCTAAAAGTTCTAAAAATCAATCATCCATATGATCCCGCAATCTCCCTACTGGGAATATACCCAGAAGAACCCAAATCACTCTATAAAAAAAGATACCTGCACACGTATGTTTATCACAGCATTTTTCACAATAGCAAGAACCTGGAACCAAACATGTGGCCCACCAAAACAGAACCGGATAAAAAAAATGTGGTACATATACACAATGGAATATTATGCAGCCATAAAGAAGAACAAAATCATGAACTTCGCAGCAACCTGAATGGAATCAGAGTCTATAATACTGAGTGATCTTTCACAGAAACAAAGAACTGAGTATCACATGTTCTCACTCATAAGTGGACCTTGAACAACTATCATAATAGTATAAGAAAAGGATTGACAGTAGTGGGAAAATGCGGGGATGTAGGGGGGCAGGGAGGTGGAATTGACAGTAGTGGAAATCTGCCTGGGGAAGGGAGCGGGCACACCTCATCAACAAGGTTACTTGCACAATGAATATTTGTATACCTGACCCTGAATTGTATCCCACAATTTTAAAATAAACAAATTTAAAAGTAAAAAAAAAAAAAATTTTTCTCAAGAATTATCAAATGATTTTTAAATTATACCTGCTATTTTTCCACACAGAGACATTTTGATTAACCTGGTATGTTCAGAAAGTGTTAGACAACTAAAATAGTATTAATTTCAAACACCAGGTAATAAAAACTTTGACAAAGGAAAAATATATACACACACACACACATACTTTCAGCAATTTTGAAATATACACTGCATTATTATTTATTATAGTTACCATTCACAAAAGCTTATTCCCCCTAACTGAAGCTGTGTACCCCCTGATTAACATTTCCCTTTTCCCCACCCACCCTCCTCCCCCAGCCACTGGTAACTATCATTCCACTCTCTACTTCTATGAATAATGCATAGGTTTATATTCATACTGCTTAAGTGTTAATCAGTTTGTATCTAAAAGCATAAAATAATTACCTTTAGTTTGTATGCTTCTTTCTTATCCCCAGCAAAAAATGAATTCTCATCAAAATGCAAAGGAAACGACCTGCATTTTTAAAGAGAACATTTATTTTCATGTATTACAAATATTAAAAGTCCTGCTGATAAAACATTTTACTGGTCTTGATAAATAATATAATTAATATAGAGTAATAATCAAAGTAAAACCAATACTCTGATGCCCCCAAACAAATTCTTATCCTCAAATTTAAATGCTAATTGCATAATATAGAAGTTTGACCGTAACCTCAATCTGTGTGAAGGCCTATGAGCAAAATTAGCTTTTAATTATTTTTTAAATAGTTTTCCTTTCTCTAAGTGACTAAGGATTTAATTTTGGATACCACTCATCATTTTTCTATTAATGTATGAATTTTAATATATAATTACTTGATTTCTTGAAGTATTTCCAGAAGTAACATTTTGTTTTCTTCATCCTGATTTTTATTTCCAGTGAAGAGTTGGAAATCTGGGCGCTCAAAAAATGGTAACACTTTAGATAAAGCCCTTAATTCTATTAAGTAGAGAAAATACAAGTTCTTAAGCCTTCTTGGGCCTTCTCCTTCAGTCAGAATTCCATCAAACCGCTGTTGAAATTCCGTAATGTTGTGTCCCCATTTCTTTTCCAACCAGGTATCTGGGAAGGAAACAGAATTAAATATTTAAAACTGAACTTTATTATTAAGTAATGTTTATTTTAATTGTATTAGGTTATATCTGCCTGTAGAAGTGAATTTAACTTTGCATTTTAAAATATATACTAAAAACAACCAAGAAAATGGTTTTTCATAACTTAGCCTTAGTTCTGTATTAATATTTTATCTTCTAGACCCCATCCTTAAAGGCAAAATGACTTCACTTTACTGAGAAAGTAGATTTTAATAAAAATCAATTTTCTAAATATAAACATTAATGAAACCAAAATACGCAATTGAAAAATGACACTCTGAAATCACTAAAGAGTTTAACGTACTTTTTGTTTTTTAACTTGGTGTCTCACTGTGTCATCCAGGCTGGCGTGCAGTGGCATGCTCACAGACATCACAGCCTTGACCTGCTGGGCTCAGGCGATCCTTCTGCCTCAGCTTTCCAAGTAGTTGGAACTACAGACACGCGCTACTATACCTAATTTTTTTTTTTTTTTAATTTATTGTACAGACAAGGTCTAGCCAAGTTACCCAGGCTGGTCTCGAACCCCTGGGTTTAAGCAGTTCTCTCGCTTCATCCTCCCAAAGTGCTAGGACTACAGGCTTGAGCCACCGTGCCCAGCCTAAAGTGCTTTCTAAAATCAAAGTAACTAATTTGTTTCTAAGAAGTGAGATATGCTCTAATTTCAGAAGAAATACGGAACTAATGAAAATCAAGGGCCAGGTGTGGTGGCTCAAGCCTGTAATCCCAGCAATTTGGGAGGCCAAAGTGAGAGGATTACCTGAGACCAGGGGGTCAAGACCAGCCTGGGCAACTTGGTGAGACCTCATTTCTACAATAAATCAAGAAAAATAAGCTGGGCATGGTGGCACATGCCAGTAGTTCCAGCTACTTGGAGGGCTGAGGCGGAAGGACCACCTGAGCCCAGCAGGTAGAGGTTGCAGTGGCCATAAGCGAGCCACTGCACTCCAGCCTGGGCAATAGAGTGAGATTCCAACTCAACAAAAAAAAAGAAAATTAACTATAGGCTCGTTTTTCAACAGAATTCTTGAAGGATAAAGAGCAGCAGGAAATGCTTCTACATATTAAAACTCCAGGCCTAACACTGGCACAGAGATGATAGATCTGATATATATATCCAATCTAAAAATATCCAACAAATAAACTGCTGTTAGCAGTTATTTAAATTCCCACACACAAAAACATTTCCAAAGAGATGGATATGACTGTAAGTAGCTTCTTTTTTTTTTTCCATTTTTTAATTTTAAAGATGTGGGGTACAATTCAGGGTTAGGTATACAAATGTTCATTATGCAGGTACCCCTGTTGATAAGGTGTGCCCCTCCCTCCCCTAGCAGTTTCCCTCAACTGCCAATCCCACCCCTTCTCCCAGTGAGTTTCCCACTATTGCCAATCCCTTTCTTACAGTATTATGATAAATGTTCAAGGTCCACTTATGAGTGAGAACATATGGTACACTGTCCTTTGTATCTGTGATAGATCACTGAGTACGACAGACTCTAAATCCATCCAAGATGCTACAAAGTCCATGTTTGTCCTTTTTTATGGCTGCATAATATTCCATTGTATGTATGTACCACATTTTTTAATCCAGTCCAGTTTCAATGGGCAGCATGGTTAGTTCCGTGTTTCTGCTATTCTGAATAGAGTTGCAACAACATGTGTGGCAAATATCTTTTTTGTAGAATGACTTCCTCTGGGTATATTCCCAATAGGGGGATTGCTGGGTCATATGGAAGGTCAATTTCTAGTTCTTTCAGAAATCAGTGAGCAGCTTCTTTTTTTTCTTTTTTTTGAGTTGGAGTCTCACTCCATCGCCCAGACTGGAGTGCAGTGGCCACTCCCTGCCATCGCAGCCTCAACCTGCTGGGCTCTGGCGATCCTTCCGCCTCAGCCTTCCAAGCAGCTGGAAATACAGGTGCGCACTACCACGCCTGGCTAATTTTTTATTTGTCGTAGAGATGAGGTCTCGCCAAGTTGCCCAGGTGGGTCTCGAACCCGTGGGCTCAGGCAATTCACTCACCTCAGCCTACCAAAGTGCAGGATTACAGGCTGAGCCACCAAGCCCGGCTGAGCGGCTTCTTAAAAGCAGGTAAAAAGAGCTACGAACAAGCTGAACTCGTGCACTGCATGCAGTCCCCACATTCCTGACTACCACCGTTTCAGAATGGACTTTTACTGCCTAACGTTCATTTGGGTCAATCGTTTCCCATTCAGGTAAACACCAAGACAATTTTGAAAATACCTGAACATAAGTGTGATAAAAAGATTAAAAGTAAATTTCACATACCTTGTAAAAGATATCTTGCACTCAAATGCACATTAATGCTTGCATGTAGGCCAGAGATAAGTCTGTAGAATGCTCTTTTTTCTACACAGAGCCCTAAAAATAGTAAGTCAATGGTTTAGAAATAAAATTTAATAAGTGAATCTTGTATATATATAATTAATTTCATGTCTTGTTAATGAGGACAAAGGTGTCATTTAAAAGTACTTAAAAGTTTCCAATTACCTTCCAGCCAACTGTAAAAAGTGTTCTCTGAAAATAAAAGAAAACTAAGTCACAAAATACAAAATAAAAGTCTTAAATAACTCTAGCAAGTTTTGCTAAATGGCAATTTAAAGATTATTTAACATAAAGATCCAAGTCTTACTTGCAATTTCACCAAAGAAAGAACAGTCCATGATTCAGTTAGGTACCACTCTGCTACTCAGTACTTAAAAGCATTACCTTTGGTAGCTCCACTCATAACTTTCTGGTTAAAGTGTTTTATATGACATCAAAATACAGAATTTAAAGCTGGGCTCGATGACTCAGTCTGTAATCCCAGTACTATGGGAGGCTGAGGCGAGTGGATTGCCTGAGTCCATGGGTTCAAGACCAGCCTGGGCAACTTGGTGAAACCCCCATCTCTACTTAAATTAAAAAATTAACTGGGAGAGGTAGCACACGCCTGTAGTTCTGGCCACTTGAAAGGCTGAGGCGGAAGGATCGCCAGAGCCCAGCAGGTTGACGCTGGGGTGGCGGTGAGCATGCCACTGCACCCTAACCTGGGGGATGGACTGAGACTCCAACTCAAAAAAAAAAAAGAAAAGAAAAAGAAAAAGTTCAGAATTTAAATAGTAAATCAGTCAACAATGGGGAAATACCTAGCCTTGATAACAATTCATGCCATGAAAATTAATGATTCACGATATTTAAAAAAAAAGAATTCATGCTATGCTTTTTAAATTAGAAAAATAAATTAAAAGTATCAAACAATGTTACAGGTGTATTATGTCTATGTAGCTGATAGTATTACGTGTCATTCACTATTTCAAAAAAGCAATTCAGGGAAATGTTACAAAAACGAAATACCACTTATATTCTAGGACCTAATAAGATCACTATTAATATACTTAGATTTGGTAATTCTGTAAGTACAACAATGCCTAAGTTAACACGATAAAATACTTAAATAATAAAATAACATACAATTGTTAACATAAAAATATAGACCATGGCAATATCCTAAAATGTTTATTAAATATTAAATAAAAGTCATAAAAAATACTTTAAAGATTCACATATGCATTAGCTGGAGAGATGGTAAACACTGTACAGTGTTTCTTACTAAAGTTGCTCAAAATAATGTAAGAAATCAAATAAGCCTAAAAGTAATAGAGGGAATCATGAAGGAATAAACAATAAATTGGACCATATCAAAACTTAAAATAGATCTGTCAGAAAACTTCATCAACAACAGCAAAATGAAAGAAACTGGGTAAAGTGTATGCTGCAAACACAATACAGGGAGAATATCCTAAATACATAAAGCACTCATGAACTGAATAGGAATGCTAGAGGTCAGGTGCAGTGGCTCATGCCTGTAATCCCTGCACTTTGGGATGCTGAGGAGGAAGGATTGCTTGAGCCCAGGAGATCAAGACCCCAGTCTACGCAACATAGGGAGACCCTGTCTCTACAACAAATTAAAAAATTAACAAGGCATGGTGGTACACACCTATAATCCTACTACTTGGGAGGCTGAGGCAGAAGGATTACCTGAGCCTTGGAGGTCAAGGCTGCAGTGAGCTGTGGTAATACCACTGCCCTCCAGTCTGGGACACAGAGAGACTCTGACTCAAAAAATGAAAAAAAAGGGCCAGGGTACCCATTTAAAAAGTGGCAAATAGCAGCAATATAAAATCCACAAAGGAAAAAATACAAATGGTAATAACAGACAAAATTGTTTTGTCTTACTAGTAATAAAAAAATGGAAATTGCCAGACTCGGTGGCTCAGCCTGTAATCCTGCGCCTTTGGGAGGCTGAGGTGAGTGGATTGCCTGAGCCCGAGGGTTCGAGACCCGCCTGGGCAGCGAGACTTCATCTTTACAATAAATCAAAAAACCAGCCGGGCGTGGTAGCGCATGCCTGTAATTCCGGCTACTTGGAAGGCTGAGATGGAAGGATCGCCGGAGCCCAGCAGGTGGAGGTTGCGGTGGCCGGGAGCAGCCACTGCACTCCAGTCTGGGCAACAGAGTGAGACTCCAACTCAAAAAAAAAAAAAAAATGCAAATTAAAACAAAAGATATACCACTTTTACCTAACAAGTTGATAAAGATAAAAATATAATACAATGTGATTCTCATGAGGGTTGGACAAAACTATACATATCTAAATATAAAGCATCAAAATATTAACAAAGAAGCAGTGTCAGGGATCAACTAAAGGTGTAGTCCTTGGAGCTAAACCGCCTGACTTGGATCCTAACTCTACTTACAAATCATGGTCAAGTTCCCAAACTTCTCTGGGGCTCACTTCCTCATCAATAAATTGGCGATAAGCCGGGCTCGGTGGCTCAGCCTGTAATCCCGCGGCTTTGGGAGGCTGAGGTGAGTGGATTGCCTGAGCCCGCGGGTTCGAGACCCGCCTGGGCAACTTGGCGAGACCTCATCTCTACAATAAATCAAAAATCAGCCGGGCGTGGTAGCGCGCGCCTGTAGTTCCAGATACTCGGAAGGCTGAGGCGGAAGGATCGCTGGAGCCCAGCAGGTCGAGCTGCGGTGGCCGGGAGCGGGCACTGCACTCCAGTTTGGGTGACAGAGTGAGACTCCAGCTCAAAAAAAATAAAAAAATAAAAAAATAAGTTGGCGATAAAAATAATACCTCCTCGGACTGTTTAAAGAATTAAATAAAATCATACTGCTTAGAAGAGTACCTGGCACATAGTAATCATCACTAATTATTTGAGGATTGTGGGAGTACAAGGGGTTCGTTTTCTTTTCTTTTCTTTTTTTTATTTTTGAGTTGGAGTCTCACTCTGTCACCCAGGCTAGAGTGCAATGGCATGCTCACGGTCACTCAGGCATCGACCTGCTGGGCTCAGGTGATCTTTCTGCCTCAGCCTCCAAGTAGTTAGAACTACAGGAGCGTGATATCACACCCAGCTATCTATCTATCTAATCTATCTATATTTATTGTAGAAATGAGGTCTTGCCAAGTTGCCCAGGCTGGTCTTGAACCCATGGACTCAGGCAATCCTCTCACCTTGGCCTCTCAAAGTGCTAGGATTACAGGCTTGAGCCACCGTGCCCACCCGAATCGTTTTCATATAAGAACCTTCAGGGTTGTTCTTTTTTTTTTTTTCTTTCAAGTTTTTGACAATGAATTGGGGGTTGGGTAATAATACTGCCTAGGACCTAGCCTTCCAATGAAATTTTCAGTTCAGTTTTGTAACTCTGAAATAGCTATTTGTCAACTTCACCCGACTGTGTTCTAGTTAAATAATCACCAAATATGATAGTCATCGAAATCAACCTTTGCTATTTGGCCAAAATCAATACTTAAGAATAAGATAGCCTCTTTAAGGACAGCTCCCAAGGTTAATGATCTTCCTTTGATAACAAGAGACAGACTGAGGTCTTCAAATAGTGTGAAAAACCAAAGTTGGCTTCTTTAGTATAGCTGCAATATAGCACAGAACCAGGTTAATGCCCAGCGTAGAATAAGGTTGATCAAAATGGAAATTACAGAATCACCTCTACTAGTAGCAAATATGAGGCATCTTTGGAAAAATAATTTTACTGCTAAAACAATTTCCCTTCTCAACAGTCCACCTCTAATTCAACATTTTATTTAGCTGCTATAGTTACTATAATATAAACTACAATAATAAAATAGTAAAGTTACAAGACTTTAGTATTCTGTTATTTAAACATAATGCAAAAGCAACTCACAAAAATAATGTTCAAAAAATAGAGGATTTTGAAGGAGAGAAAAGTTATACTTCACATTTTAGCAATGGTCATCTAGATGGACTAAAGCTAAGCACTAAGCTTTTTCATATTGTTAAGCATATGGTCTTAAGAATAACAAAAGTCGTTTTGATCTCACCCTTAAAGCAAAAAGATTCTCAAAAGGACAAAGTAAATATGCTAACATTTTGAGCATTACTGTAAGCAACTTGGACTTGGCAATGACATCTACATCCAAGAGTCAGCATAAGACCTGGAAGCTAGATCTGGAATCACTACTAGGTCTGGATCAACACTGATCATGCCCCAGAACCTTCCTACATGAGACCTAGCAGACCCTAGAGTGCAACCAGTAAAGGAGAGGAAGACAATTCCCTACCAGAGGCAGTGGGGAAGGAGGAGAGTGGCTAATCCCGACTTCCACATTCAGTGGGTAAAATAGGCAACAGAATTATCAGAGGCAGAGGCAGGCTGTTTCTAATGCCTGAACCCAGACATTAAAAGTCATTTTCTCTTCATCTGTGCTTGTACCTCAAGAATTTTAGATAAAGAAGTAAAAATTAAGTTTTCTGAGTCTCAGAAGTGGGAAGAAAAAATAATAAAACATGTCATAGTAAACAGTTGAATGTGTACATGTGACAAAGAAGTTAGACTCACCTTCACTCGTCCCTGAAAAGCAAAACAAAAATGTTTATTATTATCAACTCCTTCCAGCTGCCCTGTCATGATACACTTTCATAAAAAGAGACTTTCTGCTCATGGTTAGTTTCAGTCCCTCAGCTCGCTCACACAGGTAAAACCTGAGAGTGAGACACTTGTGACTGCCACTCTATCTAGCGGAGGTAGGAATTATGTCTGATTCCACTAACAGGCATTATCTTCAGGAGCATGCATAAAGCACTTCAGCTCATGTAAGACTGAATATGGGCTGACGGGAGAAAAATCAAATCCATCATCTGAGAGTGCACTTAAATATCTTAGGGATTTAGGCTTATTTGGCTGGCAGAGCCCTTTTCCATATTTACTTATCCCAAACATATAATACAGTTTCTGTTAAAGATTTGTATTACTGCTTTTAAAACTCCATGCTGGGTTCAAAATATTTAACCTTAGTCAAAAATATTTTCAAAGACGATTTTATAAGATTCAAATTATACGTAATGCAGCAGTTCGTGTGTAGCTGCTTATGTACTATTGAAAAATTGTCTTCATTTTTCCCACTTTTCTTTAATGCCACCATTGTTTGAATATTAAAGAAATACATACTCATTGCAAATATATGTTTTCTTTAAAAAAAGAAGAGGCTAGGCCGGGCACAGTAGCTTAAGCCTATAATCCCAGCACTTTAGGAGGCCAAGGTGAGAGGATTGCCTGAGCCCGCAGATTTGAGACTAGTCTGGGCAACATGGTGAGACCTCGTCTCTTTAATATATCAAAAAATTAGCTGATCATGGTAGTGCGTGCCTGTAGTTCCGGCTACTTGGAAGGCTGAGGCAGAAGGATCGCCCGAGACCAGCAGGTCAACGCTGGGGTGGTCGTGAGCGTGCCACCACACTCCGGTCTGGAGTGAGACTCTGATTCAAAAAAAAAAAAAAAAAAGAGGAAGCTGAGTATGAGGCCTCACACTTGTAATCCCAGCACTTTGGGAGGCTGAGGCAGGAGGACTGCTTGAGTCCAGCCTAGGCAACATAGCTAAACCCCATCTTTGCAAAAAACAAAAAAATCAGTTATGCAAGGGGGCGCTAGCCTATAGTCCCAGCTACACAGGAATTCAAGGCTGCAGTGAGCTGTGACCGTGCTATTGCACTCCAGTAGCCTGGGTGACAGAGTGAGACGCTGACTCAAAAAAAAAAAAAAAAGAAAGAACAAGAAAAAAAAAAAAACAAAGGAGAAGAAGACAGATGGTGTGTATAGTTTTGGAGATACTGTGTTTTTATATAAATAAATTATAAAAATGTTTTGACATCTTCCATTCAGTGTTCTGTTGATCATTTTTTCTTTTATTTTTATTTAAATGAATGCAAATTTACAGCAACATTTATAATGGCTGTATTTTACTATGTGACTATATCATAACCCGATCCCTAGTGATAGACATTTAAATTGTTCCCATTTATCTTTAAGATAAGTGAGGGTACTTAATTAATTCACCAGATCATGTGAGTTCATATGACGATCACTTCATTTCTATGAATTTGCATTTCATCTGATACAAAATCAATAGCTTCTACTGCGTCACCACATATGACTCTGCGCAAACCCAAAAGCCTTAAAGATGTTTTTTCATTCCTAATGTAAGAAAGAAATCTGCCCGCAATTAGGGAATGATGTAATATCACTATTTTCCAGGAAGGAATGTATAGTTACTATTTATATGAAATCAGCATCTTTTCTAATAAACTGCAAAAATGAAAACCTTACACATTTGCTAAAAGCACACCAAATATTCTGTCAGTAAGCACATATTCAAAGAGAACAGGGATACACAATTGCTAACAAAAAAGTCTGAAATCATACACCAAAATGCTTTATTCAACAAACCATTCTGCATACTATAGACTGGGTAGGGATTGTGAGTTTTCATTTTACATACCCTCTGATATCTACATAGTACCTCGCACATAGTAAATGGTGGACAAGCAATTGTTGAACGAACAAGTGATTTTCACTCTTGCAGACAAAATCATTCAATGAGGAGAGCAATTTTCATTGATCACATATCTAATAAACTACTCCATCTATTATGTGTCAGGCTCTATGTTCGAGATAAAACATGCCATCACAAAGAAGATGAGGGTAAAATAAATAAATAATTTTTTTTAAAGAGATAAAACAGATAAATGCTGCCATATGCCCAAAGCAATAGAGTAGAGCAACAGACAAATAAATAACCATCAAGTAATGCTGTACAGCTACAAGAAGAAACACAACATGCATAAGATTACTTCATGAGGAAGGAGAGATTACTTCCGAACCAGGTAAAGTTTTATAGAAAAAGTAGCATTTGAGACACACTTGAGTGTAGGTAGACTATGAAAAATGCTAATAAGATACAAATACATAAATCAGAAATAAGACTACTAATATATGCAGTAGTTTCAAGTTTGGGGGAAATGTTGAAACTTCTTTTGGGTACCTATCTGTAAAATGAGCAAAAATTGAAAAACTGAACACATGTTAGTGAGTCTCCAAAAACGTATAGAATATATATCCTAATCTTCATCCTAGCATAACCTAATGCCATGAACATCATTGCAAAAATCCCCCTTACTGAAATACAAATATTTTAAACCCCAATCTCCACAAGAATAAGGCATAGCATCTGTGGAAACAGGACTGTGGAGTATATGATCTCAACTACTCTTGCCATTTATCTCACCCTTCCTTCTAACAAAACTCACTGGCTGATAAATAATATAACAATGAAAATCAATGACTCACCTGCACCAGAGGCCAAAGGATTCAAAGGTCTTTTAATTGTCTGTGGCCTAGAAACCAAAGAATGAAAAGCATAAAACATAAATATGTTACCAGACATGTTATAATTATTTAAGCAGTATCATCTATGAAAGTTGCTTAACGTCCCAAATCAAATCATTTTACTGAGATTATAAACAATTTTCTCTAATTGTTTTAGGAAGGTGGCTGTCACTTGTTTTGGCAATAATAGTTCTTGATCTTTTCCCACTATAGTGGCCAGCAAATCATTTCCTAATGACTTCTTCAAACAAAAAAAGAAAAACTATCAGTCAAGTTATTTTCCTAGAGCCACTAGCATGTCTTCATATATATTATAAATACATATCTATGTATGTGTTTATGTATGTATGGCACAAAGTGTACCCCTAACTGAAAGACAAACAAGCAAAAAAATATAAATACTCAATATAAGCATTAAAAGTATTAAAATGGAAAAAATGATGTAGGTACATTATTTTCCATTGGGGTAATCTTTTTGTCTTTTTTTTTTTTTTTTTTACGAGCCAGTGTCTTACTGTGTAGCCCATGCTGGAGTGCAGTGAGGAGATCTTAGCTTTCTACAGCATCGAGCTCCTGGGCTTAACCAATATTCCTGCCTCAACCTCCTAAGTAGCTCAGACTATAGGCAGGTGACCAGGACCGGCTAACTTGGGTCATCTTTAGACATATCAACTTGCCCTCTGGCCAAGTTTGTTACAATCTAAATAAAAGGAGTTTTTTGTAAAATAGAAAAAATAAAAGATTTCTGGAGAGTTAATAATATGTCACCAAAGTGCTTTAAAATCCATAATAAATATTCATTAGTATCATTGGTAAAGTGTAGGAATTATTTTAATGTCATAATTTATATTTTTAAAAATTTGCACAACTTGAGATATTCTGAGAATGGAATATGTAAGCTATATTTTAAATTACTCAGTATAATTAACTTAATGCCTCATTGCTTATATTGTAAGAAATTATGGGAATCAGGACATAAATTTAGTTAGGCAATGGCTACAGAACTAATACAAATCTAACAAATGCTTTATGGGCTCTTCCAGTTCACATAAAAAAATTAACAAAAGCCTTAAAAGTAAACCCCTAAGTCAGCAAGGCAAACATTCCTAATTATAGTCAAGATAGTGTAAATAAAATACATGGCAGAAATAAATAAATAATTAAAACGTTCCACTTTCCAAACTGGAAAAGTTATTCAACTCAAAAACAAACAAAAAACCCAAAGGTCTGACATTTTGCTGGTATGTGCGTAATTGCTGATCTCATATTTATACCTGATTTATAAAAAGTAAAATGTATGATCCCCATATTTGGGAAATTCAAAGATTTTCCCAGATTTCCCTTAATCTTTAAGACAGCATAATGTGTATACCTGTACTCACACAGACACAAATTATTTCCAAAAACCAATGAACACATTGCTCAGAGCCTCAAGGCTTAGGCGTGGGTAACTTGAAGCATTTCACAATCACCCAGTGATCAACTTGACTGCTTCCACTGTAATGGTTGAGTACAAAGTGGGCTCTTCCACTTACTAGACCTTAGACATTGAACAAATCACTCAGCCTCTCCAATTCTAAGTTTCTCCGTCTGTAAAACAGTGATGACTACAACACAGGTATACTGCAAAGACTAAAGGAGAAAACGTATATAACAATGTTGGCATACACTGATTGCAAAAAATATTACCCATTATAATTACTCTCTGAAATTAATTAAAATTTTTTTTAGAGTCAGTCTCACTCTGTCAATCAGGTGGTAATGCAGTGGTGCAATCATGGGTCACTGTAGCCTCGACCTCCTGGACTCAGGTGATCCTCTCGCCTCAGCCTCCTGAGTAGCTGGGACTACGAGCACACACCATCAGGCCCTACTAATATTTTTGATTTTTTTTTTGTAGTTATGAGGTCTCACTATGTTGCTCAGGCTGGTCTCAAACTCCTAGGCTCAAGCGATCCTCCAACCTCAGTCTCAAAGCGCTGGGATTGCAAGTGTGAGCCACTGCGCCTAGCCAATTAAAGCAAGTAAAATAACTATAGCCACAGAAAGGGGATTCCAGAGCACCAAAAGGAGAATTAAGAGTTGTAGATTCTAATCCATACCCTGCCAATAACTGTGATCTTGGGAAATGAAGCAAGCCTCTTTAGTTCTAGGTTACTCATCTATAAAATGAGACTCTATAATGGACTCAAAGAACATTTGCTAAGTGCCTACGATACTTTTATAAAGGTCGAATACTATTGTCAGTCTTTTAAAGAAAAAGGAAATATTTGCTGAAACCCATGTGTATATGTTTCCCAGAGGGAAACTGGTTTAATGAATAGCTGTTTCGGTGGCATTGTGATATATATTTATATATTGATTTTCATCCATGGCTCCTGGCTCATAAGCCTTATAGCCCTTGTCACATTGTTTTGTTACTGTGTTGGTGTATCAGGCCTCAGGGGCAGGCCTTGGACACACGCCCTCTCTGACACTCTGCTGCCCGAAGGCAGGACTCCAATCTTACCCCACCTTTTGATCATGGGTCTTAAGATCCTCCCCAGAGAGGGTCCCACCTTATACTCCAGGGGAAGGAATGATGTCATCAAGCTTCTATAAATACCCAAGAGGACTGGGTTCTGAGAGTTTTCAGACAGCGGAGCAAGAAGAGATTCCTGGAGGGTGGTGAGCCCAGAGAGGGCATGAAAGCCCCACACCCCTTCCCTCATAATTTGCCCTACACTTATCTTCATCTGTACCCTCTACAATATCCTTTATAATAAACTGGCATACATCAGTGTTTTCCTGAGTTCCATGAACCGCTCCAACCTCAAAAGAGGCGGTCGTGGTAACCTCAACTTGAAGCGGGTTGGTCAGAAGTTCTGAAGGCCCAGGCTTGCAACTCCAACTTGTATCTGGGGGGAGGGTGAGTCTTGAGAACTGAGCCCTCATCCTGTGGCATCTGACATTATCTCCAGGAAGAAAATGTCAGAATCAGATTGGAGGATGCCCAGCTGGTGTCCGCTGCTTGGTGTGTAGGGAAAAACCCATTTGGTCACAGAAGTCTTCCTCTGTGTTGATGACTGTTGTGGCATGAGATTAAAGGAAAGCATGGGTTGGGGGTTTTCCCAAAGCAGTTCTAAGTCCAAAGTAAATCTGATTTGTAATTTTAAATCATCATGACTTTGTTTGTTTATAAAGAGAAATAACCACATCTTACAGGAATTGCTAAATTAAAATGACACATACTTAAAACAGTTTTCTTCATAGATGACATTCCATATCTTCCAAGCATCTGGTCCCTTGTAACCCGTGTAGCGCTCAGGATTAAGGAGTAAATCTACATATTCAGCATCAGGGGACTGAATGTCTGTAAAACAAAATGTTTTATTAAACATTTCTTGATGCCAGTTAACTTAAATACTCATATACAAGACTTTATTCCAGTGGCTCAAAGGTACCACATGAGGGATTTTACAACAGCTTCTCAAGAGAAGGAAAAGGGGGAGAAACTAACACAGTCACGTGGACAGACTGTAACACTGGCTGCAAAAACACTCCATTTTAGACATGGTAAACAGTGAATTTTAGAATCAGAAACATGGTAATTCAATTTTCATCAGCTATGCAGACAAAGGACATAACACACCTTGCCCTCCACATTCACCACAGCAGCCACCACTAACCAAGCTATACGAAGACATGCTAATATCATACACTGCTTGTTACCAAATACTTTTCTTCTCAGACAACTGCCATCAGAATTCACTACTAAACTGTCCTAAAGATCTAACACTAAATATGCAAAAGGTACATGTGGGATGACTCTGTGTCAGGATTACTTATAAAAGGGAGACTTGGAAGCAACCCAGTATGGCAGAGCAGTGAGAGCTCTGAAGCCAGAGGCATGGGATTAGATCCAGGCCCGTTTACTCGTCACCTACAGTGTATACCTTTACGCCCAAAAAAACGGCCCCTAATCCTCCCATGGCTTTGGGAATTTATTTAATACTACAGCAATACCTTGCTCATGCACAGAGCTTACTATGAACCAACAAAGGATGAGGAAGGGACAAAAATGGCCTTAGGCCAGGCACCCTGGCTCATGCTATCATCCAGCACTTTGGGAGGCAGAAGCAAGAGGATTGCCTGAGACCAGTTCAAGACCAGCCTGGGAAATTTGGTGAGATCTCGTCTCTACAGTAAATCAAAAAATTAGCCAGGCATGGTGGTGTGTACTTGTGGTACCAGCTACTTACTTGGAAGGCTGAGGTAGAAGGATCGCCTGTGCCCAGCAGGTCGAGGCTGTGGTGGCCGTGGGCATGCCACTGCACTCCAGCCTGGGCAACAGAGTGAGACTACAACTCAAAAAAAAAAAAAAAAGGCCTCAAAGCAACCAAAGTAGATGACAAAAATATGAGCACTACTGTCCATCAAGCTGTAAAAAATAACTATTTCTTCTTGAAAACAACTAAGCTTCATTATTTTTACTCAATTCACAGTATGTTAGAGGCACAAATTAGGGGGAAAAGTTGCTTCTAGAAACAGCACAATGACCGCATCTGGAAATAACTGAGAGAGACCAATGCAGAAATCGTAATTGCAATAACTAGAAAAAGTAAATATAAGATCTTTAAAAACAAATTAGCATGGAATCATCTAGTTCAGGATGGATAACTCTGCTCACTTCAATTAATACTAAAGGCAATTGTCACGTAATAAATTATAATAAATTCATTTTTTAAAACACCAATTTTTAAAATATACAAATGATGATCAGTATCTTTAAAACAGAAAATTAGCCACCAAGAAATGATTATTTTTAAAAAGTCTACCTAGAAATAAACATTTGACTATACTTATTACAAATATTTCATCTCTCTTCAACCTTATTAAAAAAGTTACAATGACCATGTTTTGCCAAGTGACAAAAGCTCAAATTTTCAATCAGGGTTTATAAACAGCTTCTATATTTCATGTGCCATTTCCATACATAATGTATTCCTTAAAAAGCTGTCCCTTTTAAAAATAATCACCCTCTCTTAACAGACGAAACTAATACAAATGGGCAAATGATTCACCAAACTCCACTAAATAAGAGGTAAGTAACTGATTTTCAGTGAAAGCTATATATTGTAGTCTCAAAAGGATACTTTCTTAATGGAAGTCAAAGTAATACCATCCTTTTTCTAACGTCAGAGGCCTAAAATAATTCGCTGAGTGCTATAAATTTAGTTTTAACTCATAGCAATGTCTGTGGTCAAAAAATACTTGTAGAAAAGGTGGCAAAATAAGGGGGCTGAGAAAACATTTGAGTTTCCTCCTTAATAGTCTAAGTCTTGGTATATGTCTATATCTAACACCCATGCACATGTGTTTTGGAATTGAGAACTTTTCAGATTTTACAAAGGTCATTTAGTACATGAAATATATATTAAATATCATTTGGGCAGGGCCTGAGGAAGCGACTTTTAATCAATCATATAAATACTTCCGCCTTGAAACACATGCATATTCATACTAAATAAGTCTGTGCTAAACTTAGGGGAAAAAAGTTCACTTTTCAGATTTTGAATTAGAAATAAGGAATAATAGATATGCACATATCAAAACATGGTCATGATTTCTGTTAAGGAAAGCAATTTTCTCTCAAGAGCACAAAATTAAAAATAAGTAATTTCTCTTTCTCTTTTAAGGGGACCATAGGCTTCATCTTTTGCTTGAAATTAAAATAATCTGCATTATTATTTTCACTAATTTTTAGAAGATCAATAGTCTATGACAAAAGAGCTATGGAAGAATCTCAAAACTAGGCAGGGCACGGTGGCTCAAGCCTATAATCCCAGTACTTTGGGAGGCCGAGGTGAGGGCATTGCCTAAGCCCACAGGTTTAAGAACAGCCTGGGCCACTTGGCGAGACCTCATTTCTACAATAAAAAGACAAAAAATTAGCCAGCTGTGGTAGCGCGTGCTTATAGCGCGTGCTACTTGGAAGACTGAGACAGAAGGATCGCCTGATACCAGCAGGTTGAGGCTGCAGTGGTCGTGAGTATGCCACTGCACTCTAGCCTGGGCGACAGAGTGAGATTCCAACTCAAAAAAAAAAAAAAATCCCAACACTCAATATGATGTGATTTGATTTAGCCAAGGAAGAGGTTAGCAAATCAACTTAGAAAAAGGAACATACTAGAAAAAGAAGAATGGGAGAATCCATAAATCTTAATTAGAGTTTTGTGGGGTTTTTTTGAGTTGGAGTCTTACTCTGTCACCCAGGCTGGAGTACAGTGGTACACTCACTGCAGCCTCGAACTGCTGAGGCTCAGGAGATCCGTCTTAGTCTTCCAAGTAGCTGGAACTACAGGTGCATGCCACCACACCGGGCTAATTTTTTTTTTTTAATTGTAGAGATGAGGTCTCACCAAGTTACCCCAGCTGATCTCAAACCTGTGGGCTCAGGCAATCATCTCGCCTCTGCCTCCCAAAGTGCTGGGATTACAGGTGTGAGCCACCGCACCTAGCTTGATCAGAATTTTAATGAATTCTAGGGCTCCTTGGTTTTTACAGCATCAGCATTCTGGCTGAGCTTTAGACATCACCGGCATGACTCATGGCTAAATATTCTTTTAGCCAAAAGCAACAGAAACATCATCAAGGAAAATATATAACAATCTAACAGCAATATAACAGAAGCAGTTTTTTGTAATCCCTACATGCTAGCCATTAAAGCAAAATGCATGTATATACAAACATATAAACAGCTACATATGCAGAACTGTAAAAGTTAAGAAGCAAATTTTTTCCAAAACTGGAGTTTTCTTTTTAATTTTTTTATTGTGGTAAAATAAGTATAACAAATTTTACTGGTGTAACCACATCTAAGTATAAAATTAAGTGGTATTAATTACACTCACAATGTTATGCAATCATCACTACTCTCTGTTTCTAAAATTTTTCCAGGCCAGGCGTGGTGGCTCATATCTGTAATCCCAGCACTTTGGGAGGCGGAGGTGAGAGGATTGCCTGAGCTCATGTGTTCAAGACAAGCTTGGGCAACATGGTGAGACCTCCTCTCTACAATAATCCAAAAATTAGCTGGGCATGGTGGCACATGCCTATAGTTCCAGCTACTTGGAAGGCGGAGGCAGAAGGATCACTTGAGCCCAGCAGATCGAGACTGCAGTGGCCTTGAGCATGCCACTGCACTCTAGCCTGGGCAACAGAGTGAGACTCCAACATAAGATAAAAATAAAAAAATAAAATAAAACTTTTCTATCACCCCAAACAGAAACTCTATAGTCATTTTGGCAATAACTCCCTACCCCCACCCCCAACCTCTGATACCCTTTAATATACTTTCAGTCTCTATGAATTTGCCTATTCTCTCCTATAAGTGTAATCATATCATAGTTATTGGAGTCTGTCTTATTTCACTAGCATGTCTTTAAGTTCATTGATGTTGTGGCATTCCTTTTCAAAGCTGAATCACATTCGTGTGTGTGTGTGTGTGTGTGCGTATGTGTGTGTGTCACATTTTGTTTACCCATCTGGTGATAAACACTTGGGTTGTTTCTACCTTTTGGCCACTGTGAATACTGCTGCAATGAACAGTGATATACCAGATCTGTTCTGAGTCCCTGTTTGGAGCATATACTTAGGAATGCAACTGTTAAGTCATATCGTCATTTCTATGTTTAGCTTTTTGAGAAATCATCAAACTGTTTGAAACTTTTGTTTTTAAAATAATTTAAAAAAATTTTTTTCTTAGGTATAATTTCAAACATAACGCATTACTATAAAAAATGTTTTACCATCAGCTTCACAGAAATTGTCTGAAGAATCATCATGCTTGGTCCACTGAAGAACAGCCTTTTGTGTTTCCTCACTTTAAAGAAAACACGTAATGTTATTATTTCTTAAAGTTAGCACATGACATGAAAGAAGCAGGAAATCCAACATAAAATACTTCTAAAAAAAGCCATCAGACCTCAGTGATTCGTCCACTGCCCCAAGACGTTCCGCTTGCTCACATTCCTCAATGAGACTATTGGCTTCTTCAGAATACTAAAATGAAAAAGGTATAAATAGAATACCACTTACTGTACTTACTCTACACACTTTAGAACAAAGTAAGCTCTCACTTTCCTCCTAAAGCTAAAGAATCAAAGGCTTTGCCTCTTGTTTTTGTTGAAGAACATGATTTACTATTAAGTTCATAAAGAATATAGTTCTATATAACTCACTACTAAATGCCTACTAGGAAAATCTTCAAGGTGTAAGGAAATCACAAGGCAGGTAATCAAGAGGCATTGTGACTTTTTCAATGACTTTTCAATGACCCCGCTGTGAGCATGAGTTTTCTCTTCCACTACTACGTCTATATACTGCACAGGAGACTTGAGTGTGGTTCATGGAAATGCACAACACATCAGTCATTCAGTCACTATCAGATAGCTGAAAGACAACACTGAAATCAGGAGGCTATGAATTCAATCACTCAACAAATATTTATTGAGTGCCTATTATGGCCTTATTATCAGGATGACTAAACAAATAACTGTCCAGTGACAAGACTAAAATAACTGGACACTAAAATAACTGGAATGTTGTAATTTTTTAGGGAACCCTAAAATAAATGAAATGGCATAATATTTTGGAAATATTTCTTTGTTGAATGACAGCTTTGTTTCATTATATTGGTTAACATATAAGACAGCTTAATTCAAAACTATTTTCAAAAATAAAGCTTTTTCATATATGATTCTTTAAAAGTAAAAGAAAAATGATGTATTCAACCTATAATCAGATAGTTCACAAAATAATTATTAGAAAAATAATGAACCAAATGTGGCAAAATATGAAAAATTACTGGATCCACAAAAAAGGTGTCAAAAATGCAACTCAAGTTGTAGCTTTTCTGTAAACTGGAAATTATTTCAGTATTTCAGTATAAAATAAAAAGTTAGGCCACACGCTGTGTCTCACACCTATAATCCCAGCACTTTGGGAGGTCGAAGTGTGAGAATCCCCTGAGCTCAGGAGTTCAAGACCAACATGGGCAACAAAGCAAGACCCCATCTCTACTGAAAGAAACTGTTTTTAAGTTAGCTAGGCATAGTGGTGCATGCCTGTAGTCCCAGCTACTTGGAAGGCTGAGGTGGGAGGATCACTTGAGCCCAGGAGCTCGAGGCCGCAATGAGCTATGATCTCACCACTGCACTGCAGCCTGGGTGATAGAGCAAGACTCTGTCACTTAAAAAAAATGATAAGAAAAGAAAAGAAAAAAAAAAGAAAGTACATAGAAACAAACATTGGACTCCCATTAATGATATACTTCTAGTTACGTCTTTCTATTTAGCTAATGACACATTTAGAAGGTGTACTGATGCCTGCAATTTCCTTTAAAATGCATCCAGAAAATAAGATGTTCTAATGGATGACTAGAAGGAATGGCAGACAGATATATGGTAACGTAAGTTGATTAAAATGTGAATAGTAGAATTCAGGTGATGAGTATAAGAGTGTTCACAGGAAATGCCTTTAACTCTGCCATATGTTTCCAATTTCTCATAACAAAATATTGAGAAAATTAATTTAAAACAGTTATTTAGTCTAAATGAAAAATCACATATCCCAGAGTGATATATAAATGTACTCTCTGCAGCTGCACGTGGTTAAATTGTTGTCTTTCGAGTCTTCTTAAAATAATCACAAACTTACAAAGCAAATGCTAAGGCTTAATCAGCAGGCTTGTGTGTTCTGGTTTCTATATGGCCAGTGATATTTATTTATATGGCCCTTATGGATAGTAAATGGTGATCTTTTGTGCAAGTTATATATCATGATGAACTGTCATGAAGATGAAAATTCAATACTTTACTTTTCATGAAAGATATACTTCCTTTTTCAGCTTTTTCAACTAAAAGGATTCATTACAAGATTAAAAAAAGCATTACCAAATCATAAAATAAGTGCAGTTATTAACTTATAGTAAACAGTAAACGATAAAACCACTACAGCAAGACCATTCTGTCTATGCAGACTTGCTCAGCCTCTGTTTCACATATGTATTTCTCATAAGCCAAACCTTTAATTTCACAGGTTTTCCACTGACCAGTCAAAAGGTAGCCTGGCAGCTTAGGGCTTTCAAAGTAAAAAGGCATTACCAAGGAATAAAATAACCATAAAATAACTATACAGCTGTCAATATACACTAAACAGGAAATGATAAAACAATGGCAGCAAGACCATTTTCTCTGTGGACGATTATTCAACCTCTGTTTCCCATATATATTTCTCACAAGTCAAATCTATTAGCTTCACAGGTTTTCCGCGACCAGTCAAAAGGCAGCCTGGAAGCTTGTAGGTATGACAAAGGCCACAGCACCAATGACTGCTAACTCCAAGTGACCAACAGGGGCAACACTACTTGTTTTAAAGAGTTCAGGCTGCTATAACAGAATCCCATAGATGGCGTGGCTTTAAAATCAGCAGAAAAATGGAGATGAAGCAAAACTGACCAAAACTGGCCACACATTGATAACCGCTGAAGCTGAGTGATGGATACATGTTTCTGTTTTTTTCTCTACTTTTACTTGTCTTTGATATTTGCTAAATAAAAGGTTAAACAAAAACAAACAGACAAACAGAAAGAACTGGAGCCACAGGGCATAAATACCTCTCAAGGGGTCTCATTCTAAAGGGAAGCAGAGGGGGCAGGAGGTAGCACAGGAAAAGGGTTCTTCCAGCGTTTCTTTAAGATCCATCTAGAAGTATATGAACATACCTTGTAGCTCGCAGATTTAATTCCATCAGGAACTTCATCCTGAAAAAGAAAAAAAAAGTTTTCAGATGACATTTATTCTGTCTTCTGAAAAAACATTTTAAATACCTGTGATTTATAATAAAAATTCATAAAACAAATTACTGAAATTGGATTTTTTTACCTGAGAATAGCTCAGCAATATTTATATGATTTCTTAAAACTAAATAAAAATTCAACAAATTTTTCTATGAATTGCTGATCACATCTTATGCAAATTACTACAAAGAAAGGTAAAAAAGTCACTTAGCCATTATTTCTATTGATGTTCAAATTGTGCCATATTTGGCCATTAGGAGACCCACTAAGAGCTGACTCGATATTAACATCTGTGTCCTTCTGATCTCACTCCGGTGGACCTTTGTAGCATTATGCTTTCCTGTGATAACAAGATATTCCAGGTTTATCGTTATATCTCTTGCTCCACTTTTGGAGTCAACCATATCTTAAGGAGCCCTAGTTCATTTCAGAGGACACTGGTACTGGTTTTTAACTGTGTTAGACACTAATACAGGAACTAACTGCCTATACTTAATACTGGGAGTAGATAATGATGTATCAGATGCTGTAAATTGTAGGACACTAGTCCCATGCTAGGTATATTTCTAGAATAGATTCACCTGCCCAAAGGGAAGAACCCACACTGATCGTCATTTTACTGTGTATCTGGCAAGAATTTGAACTAGGTCAATGTACATTCTCTTTTTAGATGGTTTCTAATGTTTTCACATAATAAACAATGTCACATATACAGATCAATTTCAGAAGAATTAACATCTTTATAACATTCAGTACTGCTTTTAAGTCATCCTTGAACATCTGTCCAATTATTTTATTAAGTGAAATTCCTAGTAGAATTGCTTGGTCACAGGGAATGTACCTTTTCAAATTTTTCAATGCATTTGCCAAATTGATCTCCAAAAATACTTTGCCATCAGAGTGCTCATTTCCTACTCCAGACTAACGATGAATATTGTTATTCTTTTTCACATTGGCCAATAATAGAGTCGAAAGAATTATGCCTTAAAATAAAAGAAATAAATGACTGGCCTTTCAGCTTAAAGAGAGATTCCAGCCTTTACAGGCAGACAACTGCTTCATTCAGATTTTCTCTGACATCAGGGTGCAAACTGAAGGATATGGTTTTCAAAGTGTCAAGTATGAGGAAGAGAACTTCAATCTTTATTAGTTTTCTATCTCCTGATGGGTCACAGGGTGCCACCTGAACTGAGTTTATAAATGTGTTAAAAAAAGAAATCAAAGTATTGACAAAAAGGAAACTGGTCTTTGTTTCTTTTCAACCCAAAAAGGGATTAACAAAACAGCACAAGACCATCTGAAGTAGTAAGTTAACTGTATTTAGCCTTGTGCATACATCGATCAAGTTAGATCTGTTTGCTGTTTTAGGTGTGATAATGACACTGTGGTTATCAAGCAATGCCCTTCCATCTAGATGCACACTAAAGTATAGGTTAGTGAGGTGGCTAGGTATTGGTAATGCATAATACAAATGCTAGGTGTGCAAGGCAGAAGCAAATATTCCAAAGCACTTGAAATGATCTTTAATCGCTCTTGGATTCCAAACTACCACCCTCTCAGGAACTATTAGAACCGAGCTCAGGCATGCCTTGACAGTTCTGTAAATGCTGCATCCCCTCACTGTCGCTGGAGTGGAGTTCCTCCCAGTTCCCCAGTCCACCCTCCCATCCCTTCAGCTCTCAGGGTGTGCACACCTCAGACTATTTCTATTATGGGGGTACTGCATTGGTATTGAAATGATCAGATAGCGTTTTTCTCCCACACTGAACAAAGGCAGAGCTCATCTTGTACGCCCAGGTCCTGGCACACAAGAGGCCCTCACAAAGTATTTGTTAGTGAACCAAATTACACCTGGTTGCTAACTGCCACTACTTTAATAGTCTCTCTTCCAACTCCTCACCTTCCACCCTCTATTCCCACAGTTACTGTTCTAAAACATCTTCTTGCCTCAGCCTCTCCAAGTGCTGAGATTACAGGCATGAGCCACCACATCCCCAATGATCTTTTAAAGAAAAAGCCTTTTCCTCATTGTAACATCAGTTCAAGAAAAAAAACAAAGCATAGGCATGAAAGGCATGCTGTCCAGTTCTACAGAAACTGAAATAACTAGACCCTATCTCAATTTCTCAGCACAAATTGCTAACTTTCACTGGATTCTTTTTTGTATAGCATTTCTGCATATTCAAGCCAAATAATAAATATATATTTCAGCATTTCTTAAATGTGTTTCCTCTGGAATTTATAATACAATACAACTCAACCAACAGTCTGTTAACCTGGGAATCACTAAGTTGCTATTATTATTACTGTTATTATTATTATTATTATTATTATTTTGAATCAGTCTCACTCTGTCACCCAGGCTGGAATGCAGTGGCATGCTCACAGTTGCCACAGTCTCCATCTGCTAGGCTTAGGTGATCCTTCTGCCTCAGCTTTCCAAGTGGCTGGAACTGTAGGTACTAGCCACCACACTAGGCTAGCTATTTGATTTATTGTAGAGACAAGATCTCGCCATGTTGTCCAGGCTGGTCTCGAATCCCTGAGCTCAGCAAACTTCTGACCTCTGCCTCCGAAAGTCCTAGGATTATAGACGTGAGCCACCATGCCCATCATTAAGCTATTGTTTTATGCTAAACATCTTTTTTTTTTTTGAGCTAGTCTCACTCTGTCACCCGGACTGGAGTGCAGTGGCCGCTCCCGGCCACTGCAGCCTCGACCTGCTGGGCTCTGGCGATCCTTCCGCCTCAGCCTTCCGAGTAGCCGGAATTACAGGCGAGCGCTACTACACCCGACTAATTTTTTGATTTTATTGTAGAGATAAGGTCTTGCCTGCCCAGGCGGGTCTCGAACCTGCGGGTTCAGGCAATCCACTCACCTCAGCCTCCCAAAGGCACAGGATTACAGGCTGAGCCACCGAGCCCGGCTTTATGCTAAACATCTTTTGGGTTTTCTGCTACCTCCAATTTTCTTTTCAAAGTGGCAGCCCTAGTCCTATACTTCATTAACAGCAATCAGAAACAATTGCTATATCAAGATGAGATTCAATCTCATAATAACCGAAAACTAGATTCTCCAACTAATGTTAATAAAAGCCCATTTAATGCAGAAGTACAACTAAATTCCTTAATTAAGCATCTACCATATTTTACTATATTTACTAACTCATATTAACAACATACTGATAAACTTAAATTTCCTCAACTAATTTTTCCTATTATTAAACCATAAATGCAAAAACTTATAAAATAAAATATTCAAATTGTTAATATCACTTTAATGATATGCTCATGCTTTAATAATAGTAACAAGGTATTAAATAAGTTAATCCTTAAATAAGTTAATACTTAAATTTGCAAAAAAGTTGTGTCTACAAGGATTAAAATAACAAAAATATGCTTCTCATTCTCATGGTAAAATACTCATAAACAGGATTTTACAGTACTTAATTCCACATGCTAGATAGGTCTATGTGCAATATTTATATATACAAAATAAACTGTTCAAAACTACAATATCACTTCACAGCTATTAGGATGGCTAGTATAAAAAAAAAAAACAGAAAGTAGCATTATGGTCAAGGACCTGGAGAAACTGTAACTATTGTGCATTGCTAGTAGGGATGTAAAATGATACAGCCACTGTTGAAGACAGCATGGCAAATCCTCAGAAAAATCAAACATAGAATCAACATGCAATCCAGCAGTTCCACTTCTAAGTATATACCCTCAAAAAATAAAAGTAGGGACTCAAACCAAAATCTGTGCAACCATGTTCACGGCAGCATCATTCACAAGGCAGAAAGGTGAAAGCAACCCAAAAGTCCATCAACACAAGCATGGACAAACAAAACAGTACAGGCACACAGTGGAATATGATTATTCAGCCTTAAAAAGCAGGAGAATTCTGATACATGTTACGACATGGATCGGCTTGGAAACATCATTCTAAGTGGAGTACACTAGGCAAAAAGAACAAATATTGTATGATTCCCCTTATATAAGGTAGCCAAATTCATAGAGAAAGAATGTAAAATGGTGGTCGCCATGGACTAGGTGGTGGGAGAATGAATAGTTATTGTCTGACAGGCAATTTCAGTTTGGCGATGGTTGCACAACAAAGTGAGTGTACTTAATGCCACTGAGCTGTATGTACACTTAAAACAGTTAAAATGGTAAGTCTCATGTTGTATATATTTTACCATAACAAAGTGTAAAATATCTCTGCTTTCACAGAATACCTCAAATTTTAATGCTCTGAATTTCTAAGTAAAACCAAGTGTTTTGTCCATGTTCAACCCCCATGTGGCTGGGAAATCCAAGGAAAAAATATACCCCACCCCAAAAAAAGGGGAGAGATTTTGTTTGTACCCCGCTTAACTTTATTTTATTATGCTATATATATAACTTGGTTTGGGTAAGATGTGAGAAGAAAGAGAAATATAGAGGCAAAAGAATTATATTTCCCTAATAAGTCAAAGGATTATATTAACCACAAATTTTAATTGTATTATTATGAAGGCAGTGTAATCCAAAGATAGGTTTTATATTTGTAAATTTGGGCTTTTAATATGTAAATATTGACTGTTACATTGAAACTAAAGACTGCAATATTATTTTAGTTATATTGACCCTCTCTAAAAAGTTGTAGTGAATGGAAAAAAGAAGTAACAGTTTTTAAATGCATCAGAGATTCTTACAGAGTGACAAGGTTTGACAGCACAGTCCCTTCTTCCACACTGGCTGATATCATTCCAGAAAGGACACGGCCTCTTCAGGTTTACCTGCAAAATAGTAATAGAAAAAAAGTTATAAAAATAAGGATCCCAAGATTATAATTTACAGATGTGAATTACAGTGCTATCACCTGGTCATGTTACCAACTGCAATTATTCTGTTTTTTCTATTTATCTGTTGCCAAGTTCCAATAGTTGTAAAAATGTGCAGCTGGTGTAAGTAAATCAGTAGACTTGGTAAGAAAGACACAACTGCTACTAGACACTGAAGAGACAGTAGCACCTAGGAGCCAACGAAGTTCATATCATCACCGCTCAACTCATATTCTTTCCAAACAAGAAACAGGTAACAGGTAGAGAATAGCTAGACAATTGCTAACTCAGACTACAACTACATATTCCAATGATCAGCTTTTCTAAACTCTTCCAGTTGACATATCAAGATAAAATACAAGTGACTTGTTAAAATAACATAGGTCAGAATAAAATCATTCTTCTATATAAGAATATTATTTAATTATTTTAACATACTATAGTCAATCTGATGTTCCAGAAAATTATGAACTCACTATTTTGATAACAATATAACAGTTCTGTTCTAACTTCAATTTAACCAACTAGTTTCTAACTCCAGAGTGCAAAATTCAGTTATTAAAATTAAAAGTATCCGATGGGTGGTTTCAGAACCAGATGGTTCACTCACAAACTGAATTGTCTTAATAAAGCCTATATCAATTGTAAATAATATCCACAAGTAATTTTGAAGCCTAGTAATTCTTAAGAAAACATAATTATCCATTTAAAATTTAAGTATTCTTATACAAAAAACAGAATTAAAAATACCTTGTAATATCTAAAGTAGTCACTTTCAAGAAGTTTTTGTAGTCTTGGGAAAAGCCTGTAGTTATTAAATCTATCAATGGTTTCAACATCACAGGTACAATCATCCAGGTAACCACTAACCTGTTACAAAGAAAATGAAATATGAAACTGAAATGTCCTAGATGCAACAGTGTTATTTTTCCTCACATGGTGGTTATGGAACAGCCCCCCACTCAACAAACCCTTAGCCTCCCCTTACCGCCAGTAATTTCCTGAGATGGAGTATGACAATAAGCTAGCAATACTGTTACTCTTACACCGGAGGGAATGCAGTGGATTCTTCTGTAAGGTACACTAAGCTCAAACATGAGCACACACACACACACACACACACACACACATGAGTTGGTCCCTTGACAGCCACTTATCTTGTATCCCTGGTTTCCAGGCCAAAGTTAACCTGACCAAGGGTGGGCCTCTGACCTAAACTAGGTCAGAGTCCCCTCTCCAGGAATCTGGAAATGGACAAAGAGGGAGAGGTTTCTCCTTGTGGCTAGACAAGTAAGCAAAGTGAACTCAGATCACATTGCATCACGTGAACTAAGGCGCACATGAGACAGCTGGCAAAGAGAGGAAAGATCTTAAGAGATACACAAAGCAGGACTGTCCTCAGAATTCTTGAAGATAAAAAAAAGGACACACAAGAAAGCAGAAACAGGAGCTAGAGAGGGAAAATAGTAATAGAAAAAAAGTTATAAAAATAACTTTTTTTCGGATGCCTGAGGGCTTCCCACTCCCACTTCCAGCTGTCCTTCCGTGAAGCTGGGTTGCATTTCTATCCGAGCTTTCCTGAATCTCTGCAGTCTCCTAAGTCAGTTCTCACTGTCTTTCCATTATTTTAATTTCCCACAGGGGGTGCAGATCAGAGGTAAGTTTGGTGAATGTATAAAAATAAATGATATTAACTTTAAAATAAACAACAGGTCAGGCAGTAGTTCAACCTGTAATCCCAGCATTTTGGAGGCCAAGGAGGGAGAACTGCTTGAGCCCAGGAATTCAATACCAGCCTGGGCAACATAGAGAGACTCTGTGTCTACAAGAAATAAAAAAATTAGCCAGGCCTGGTGGCATGTACCTGTAGTCCCAGCTACTCAAGAAGCTGAGGTGGAAGGATCGACGGAGCCTCGGAGGTTGAGGCTGTGGTGATCCATGAGTGTGCCACTGCACTCCAGCCTGATTGATTGAGTGAGACCCTGACTCAAAGATTAAAAAAAAAACAAAGGAAAGAGACAATAAATAAGTCATAAGGACCTAACGACCCTCAAATATTGGGCTATAAAATTTCTTACAGGTGTGGAATGGTGCTTAGAAATTACAGACCTCAAAGCCAATCCCAATCTTCAAATACTTAAAACTGATGTCTTAACTATAATCAATGTTAGCAGATATGAAACTAAAATTTTTAGATGTTCATTAGAACCACAGGTGTGCACCACCACACCTGGCTAATTTTTTTATTTATTGTAAAGAAGAGGTCTCGCCAAGTTGTCCAGACTGGTCTTGAACCCCTGGGCTCAGGCAATCCTCCCACCTCTGCTTCCCACAATGCTGGGATGACAAGTGTGAGCCACCACGCCTGGTTACAAACAAAAAACATTTAATTTAGTGGTAAGGAAGCAAATAAACAACACTTTTTGAAATAATGAGTTACAATGCTTTCCCTTTGGAATCTGTAAAATCCTACACTATAATTTAATTTGAGAACATTATAAAATGGAATATACACGGAATTTGTTTTACCTAAGATATAAGAATACTTTGGATGATAGCAGCAATAATTCAAGAGAGTTTTTCTTGATTTCCCTAGTCTTATTTGTTGTGGGCTAATTTTGTTTCTAAAAATCTGATCTACATATTTTATATGTAATAACTATTTTCACTTCATATGCAAATTTGTCCTTGCTTCCTACTAAAAATTCTCTGAATACACATTAATCTTAGAGTCCTAATTTTGGATACTAACAAACACAAAAGTAGGGGTTTTTTTTGAGAGACAGGGTCTAGCTCTTACCCAGGCTGAAGTGCAGTAGCAAGATCATAGCTCACTGCAGCCTCAGACTCCCTGGCTTGAACAATCCTCCTGCCTCAACCTCCTGAAAACCTGGGACTATAGGTACCTGCCATCATATGTTTTTGTTGTTGTTGTTGTTTGTATAGATGGGATATTACTATGTTACCCAGGCTGGTCTTGAACTCCTGGCCTTAAGAAATCCTCCCACCTTGGCCTCCCAAAGCACTGGGATTATAGGCATGAGTCACAGCATCTGGCCATCACAAAAGTGCTTTTTATCTAGATAATTTTTCATACCTTCTTTTGATTCTTAAATATAGAACTGACAAAAAATAGTTACTGTTTCTCCCCTTTAATACCAAAGATTATGCAAAGAATGACAGACAAAGAGACTGCAAAGGCCAACGGAATACATGCCAAGTAGAGCTATGAAGTCACAAAAGAAAAAACACATGAAAAACTTGAGAGGAAGAGTTTGAGGTGATCCATTTTCCCCCTGAGGAATTTATTTTAAGGAAAACCTATATCTTCAAGACCCAGTTAGGTGTCAGCTTTTTCACAGAGCTGTCCCTTGGGGACATAGCTGGGTGAACTGTCCTCCTCTGTGCTCCCAGGATACTCCACACACTGCTATATAAAGTCACATGCCTCGCAGTATTGAATGCCTCTGTGTCGCTCGCGTATAAAATCCTTGAGAGGAAAATCATGTCAGTTGCTTGCGTATTCCCAGTACTCGGCACTGTGTTACCAGGAAGCACAAGGCTGATTGATGCTCAGTGGTTATTTGTGGAAGGGGTGGATGAATGCATGAAGAAGCACTGTCCACTGTCACTCGTCCCTGGAGATCAGCACCACACTGTCTCATTATACTTATGTACTACCACCATGTCACCTACGGTGCGCCCAGTGCACATGGACACACGAGCAGGGACACACAGAGCAAGTAAAGCACACAGAGGGAGTGGGCAGCCCTTTGCACCCGACGTTCTACCTGTCTATAGCCCAAGGACAAAGGACGCACTAGGAAGCCCCAGCTCAGAAAAAACCGCAAAATCCTGCAGAGCGGAGGTGGTTATTGCCAGGAGACCTCAAAGGGAGAGAAGGCAGGCAAAGGATGGATTGTTAATTCTCCTGCCCCTCCCCTTAGATAAGGAGCAGAAAGTACTACCAACTACGCTCACAGGCAGCAGGGCAGCTAAGGAAGTGCAGCACGGGTGGCAGGGGTTTCCGCGGCTGGAGCAAGCTCAGTGACAGGAAATACAAGCCTTCTGACAACTCGGAGCAGCCTGCCAACGGGCAGCAGAACCTGATCCCCAGAGGGAGTGTGGCAGGTGGGTGCCAGGCCCAGCTCTAGAAACTGGAGAACAAGGCACATTTCCAGAACAGAGTCTCAGGAAAGGGCTGAGGTAGAAATACAGTTCATAGAGTAGGCCAAGATCCTGGAAACAAAGTATTACCTACACTAAGACCAAAAGACAGGTGCCAGTCAGTCACCAGGACCACCTGAGGCTGCATAAACAACTACTACATGGAACAATGCAGGGAAAGGACAAATTAATACATAATGGCTACACTGTCTTCCAAAGTGAAAGAGAACCTGGGCCCTACCACAGGAATCTGAACTTTTCAAAAAGCATCCCTCCCCACCCCCAAAATGATGGATGCATGCCAAAATTCGAGGCTCTAGGTATCATGTAATCATCTGCCTTGAGTAGGGGCCAATCGAATAGGTGGGCATAAAAAGGCCCTAATTGCGGCTGGGCGCAGTGGCTTGTGCCTATAATCCCAGCACATTGGGAGGACTGCTTGAGCCCAGGAGTTCAAGACCAGTCAGCAACATAGCAAGATCTTGTCTCTATAAAAAAAATTTTAAAAAGTAGCTGGGCATGGTAGTGCACACCTGTAGTCCCAGCTACTTGGGGAGGCAGATGTGGAAGGATCCCTTAAGCCTAGGAGGCTGAGGCTGTGGTAAGCCACGATTGTGCCACTGCATTCCAGCCTGGGTAACAGAGTGAGACCCCTGAACTCAAAAAAAAAAAAAGTTTGGGGGGGCCCTAGCCGAGGGATGGTAGATATAAGGACCGATGTAGGCCTGATACATAACAGGGCCCAGTTTAAAGTCTTGGTCTTCAAGAGTTGGAAAGCCTTTGAAGGCATTTTACTGCAGCCTCCCAAAAACCGGCCTCAATTTACAGTCCTCCGGGAGGCAATGTATAACAGCTAGCATGCAGGCCCCAGAATCAGACCCTCTTAGGCTGGAATCCCATCTCTGCCACTTACTCATTTTTGACCCTATCCAAATGATTTAACTTCTCTAGGCATCAGTTTCTTATCTTAATGCAAGATAATAATAGTTCCCCTCTCAAAGGTTTGATATCAAGATAAAATAGTACAAAGTAAATGCTCAGCAAGTGTTTATCAATCATTACTATTACCCTGGCTCTGTGTAAATGTTTCCAGCGAAAGGACTCATTTCTCCCAAAAGCAGGCCACAAAATTTCCATAAAAAATAAATTTTAAAAGAGCCAAATTTGCAGTTTAGACTTCTCAAAGATTTGATATCTGCAGTCCCAGTGGAACAAAGAACCAGGCTACCAAAAGTTAGTTGCAGAGGGAATCCTCGTTACGTTCACCCTCGACTCAGGTTGATTTGACCAAATGCAAAAAGCAAGACAAAAGAAAACTACACTGGACTGTGCGTTCACTGATCTCTCCTTAGCTGTACCCTTTAATGTGCAATGAAAGGCAAAACAAAACACGCTTTCAATAGTTTTCTTGTGTCCCCACAAATTCTAGCCCTACTATGGATTATCATTCTATTTTTCCACTCAAAGAATTTTAAGAATATATTCCTTATATACTTGTTTACTTTTTTTTTTAAGTCAAAGTCTCCCTCTCTCGCCCAGGCCGGAGTGCAGTGGCACGCTCGTGGCCTCCACAGCCTTGACCTGCCTGGACTCAGGCAATCCTTCCGCCTCAGCCTTCCAAATAGCTGGAAACACAGGTGTGCGCCATCACACCCAGCTAATTTTTTTATTTACTGTAGAGACAAAGTCTTGCCAAGTTGGTCAGGCTGGTCTCGAATCCCTGGGCTCAGGCAATCCTCTTGCCTCTGACTCTCAAACTGCTGGGATTATAGGCATGAACTACCACACCCAGCTATATTCCTTATGTACATTTTATATGAACTAACTTTAAAAATCTTCAGAGTGTCAACTAGGAAAGAGAAAAAAACAAAAGGCATCCAAATCTAAATAAAGAAATAAAATTGTCTTTATTTGCAAGATGGGAGACAGTGTTGGTCAAAGGATACAAACTTTTAGTTTAAGATGAATAAGTTTAGGGGACATAATATACTGTATGGAGGCTAAATTTTAATGTATTGTATACTTGAAATTTGCTGAGAGTCTTAAACATTCTCACCTCACACATACACAAAAAAGGTAGCTATATAAAGAGATGGCTATGCTAATTAGCTTAATTGTGGTACTCATTTCCCAGGGCATATGTATATCAAAACATCACACTGCATACCTTAAATATATGCAATTGTTGCCAATTATACTTCAATAAAGCTGAGGGGAGATAAAGAAATAATATGCTCAAAAATGATGCAGTGAAGAACTTTTGGGTGTATCTCATTTTATTGTGTTTTGTGACCATAAAAAGGAACATGAAAATTATGGATCCGTTGGCAAAAATACACCAGAACAACTCTGTGAATG